TGTGTGTGGGGACCTGGATCTACCCTCCTAGAGAGAGCATCAATATCTATGCAACGCTCAACTGACTCTTTGGCAGCATGAATCTTCTTCAACTGATTTCGCCCAGCACCTCGCTCAGCAGCTTTACTTCTTGCCGCTGGGACTTCTAATGTAAGTTTTGCTAAACCTGCAATCTAGACAGATCTGACGCTGGATATCTTTGGCATGACCCTCTTGGGACATTAACAGGCTGTGCCTGTAGCGGCACATATCTGCTGACGTCCGATGCAACCTTTCTGGCACTGTTTTCACAAAGGCATCCAACATCTGCACCTGCCAAGCCTGTGCAAAAAAGGAACGAGAGTTCCCAACATCTTTTGTGCCTGGGCATAGAAAGATGTCATGTACTTCGGGTTCGGGATCTGGCTTGCAGAAAGGCTCCTGAGGATCTGGTTCCTGCTTACTTTGCCTTTGAGATCAAGAACGTGAATTCGCTGCAACCTTCCCAGGTGAGCCACTGCCAGCCACATATCGCACAGTTCTGTCTGAAATCTCACATCCATGGCATCTCTCAGACGCTGGACTTTCTGCTGACAGCCGTTCAAGGCTTGTCGAGCAAAGTCTCCACGCTCCAAACTCTTGATGGTCTGCGGTTTCAACCCCCTGCCCTTCGTGATGATGATATGCAATCCTCGGCATCGCACAAAGCATTCAATGCTAAGAAGTAAAAGATTGTCATGCTCGAAAACAAGGCGTTGACCCTGTTTCTGATTCAATAGGGAACTTGTTTTGCAAAGCCTGCTCAATAGTCTCGATGCCGAAGCTTTGATTGTTGCTGCGGAAGAACTATGCGTTTCTGTGAACTCCTCAGTGTCTTCAAGACAGCTTGCAAACCTGCCAGCTGCGGCTTGGACAGCCACTGACAGGGCCCAAAGCCAGGAACTGGTTCAATTCCTGACGGCTGTGTGACCCCATCCTGCGGCAGAGCTTTTCAGCCGCTCTACGAGCCTTGTGAAAAATCCAAACCGATTGGAGTTGTCCTGATTGCGGCAGT